TTAGAGAAGAAAATTTTTTGGTCGCGACCCGGAATCGAACCCGGGACCTTTGAATGAGAGGCCAACACCTTAACCTCTAGGCCACGAGAGCCCCCGAGCAGGCTTTGGCCGCCACCCGGGCAAAATTGAAAATATGCTTAATGTGTACCGGGCGCTCACGTGACCCTGTGCATTTGCGAGCGGCGTAAAACACTAACAAAAACAAAAACAAAAAAGTCCCTTTGTGGTCCTAATATAGATCAGAGTAGACAGCGGCAGTCACGTGGACACAATTTTTAATTAATTCCTACCAAACTGAAAATGCTTAATGTATACATTTACTCGCGCCGTAAAAAAAGTAAAGTTGTAACCGTATCCGATCCGGACATTGGGGATAGCCTTATTAGTGAGAAAACTTCCTGGCGCTCACGTGACCTTATGTATTTGCAAGCGCCGTAAAACACTTACCCAAAAAAAATCCCTTTGTGGTCCTATAATAGATAAGAGTAGACAGCGGCAGCCACGTGGGCAAAATTCAAAATTAATTCCTATCAAACTGAAAATGCTTAGAAAGTATGCGAACTGAGCCCAGAAATGTGAAATTATGCGATTATGTTAATTAATTTTAACAAAGAATGATAAAGGATAATAATCAGAAATTATGAAAAAATGATCAAATTTTGCTAAATTGTGCGGGGTGCATAAAACCACGGGGACAGATTAATTTAACGTGTACCGGACGCTCATGTGATCTTATATGCATTTGTAAGCGCCGTAAAACACATACCATTTTTTTAAATTTAAAAAAAAAAACCGCCTGGCATGGGCCTGACAGGCAGGTGGTAACAAGCCACCTCCAAAAGAATCTAGCTCTATATTGTGTTGATGTAGAACAAATTATTTGCATTCCTTTACAGATTATTCTTGTCTGTCTTCGAAGTAGACACTTTATGTCTGTATATCCTTCACAAAAGGTGTTTTGCTGTTTTGTACTTAAAATAACCCAAAATACTTTTTTCGCGTGACATTTTAAATTGTCTCCTTTTTTTTCTTCTGCCCCCCCCCCCCCCCTTTCCGCCTTTCCAAATTCCTTTTCCACGCCTTCTTGAACCACGTTGCCCCCCCCCCTTCTCTCTCTCTCTCTCTCTCTCTCTCTCTCTCTCTCTCTCTCTCTCTCTCTGTATATATATATATATATATATATATATATATATATAATTATTTTTTTTCTCTATCTCTCTCTCAATATCTCCTTCCCTCAACCTCCCTTTCAGTCTGCCTGCCTGCCCACTCTTTCCCTCAATGTAGTAAGTATTGACAAAGAAGTTTGAACATAACTAAGTTGTAAAATTAAACTCTTTGTTTGCCCCACAAAGTATGCACACACAGTACCTAAGACCTCCTTGCAGAGCTGCGTTTTGATTGGCTGAGCCGCGCGTCATTAATGACGCAGTGACCACACGGCGGGACGTCAGCCGACCAGGTGCACGCGGGCAGTCCTGTGAAATCCAAACAATAAAATTACTACGCCATGTTTTTAAATATATTTTCGATACACTATTAACCCATTGACACGTACATTCTGGCCATTTCACAATACTTGAAGACGGAATGTTTTGAATCAGAATGTTGATAATGATACAGATTTTTCAAATCTTTTCCTATCTACAATTTTAAGACACAGACAATTACATATACTATTGACATCAAATTTTTATTGTTATATTTTTTTGAAGCTTAAAACCTATTGTGATCATTTTAAAACACTTTTCTGAGTAGACTTTGATATTAATTTTCTAAACAACGAAAGAAAAGAAACGTTGCTTAAAAGCACAATATATGTAAATTTTCAGTTTCCAAAGATTCTCAAGCAGTGAAAGTCACCAAACTTTGGTGACCATTCTCACTTTAATTTTATCTCTGACACTAAACGACCCTCGTCTCCCTCCATTTAAACAATATCTCAACTTCGATTCATGGTAGATTTGTTAACTTTCTTTCTCATAGAAAGCAAGACAAATGAACAAGCTTTAAGATAATACCAACAAATTACTCCGCATGGGCAAAAATTGACGAGCGCCAGATTCCACCACGTGGTGACACATAGGATTAATTATGTGTCCACTACGTCTCTAAAGAGTTAATCTGCGGCACCGATTGGTTACGTACTATTTTTTGTCGCGTGTTGGTTGGTTACCCCAGTCACTTCGCCACGTGAAAAGCCGAGAAAGCATCCCTAAAAGGCTCCTTTTGCTTAGCACGTTTGTGCGTTTCAGTCTCATTCTGGATAATTCAACTGTCAACTTCTGTGAGAGCAACTTTGAGAAAGTTTGTTATGACTTTGTGGATATGTATCATTTCGCATTTCTTGGATTATTTGCCTCCTGCATTCAACAGTGACGATTTGACTTTTTTACCCCGGAATCCTCGAGTGCACGTGGATTTGATTCAGTGAAATTGTTTTGCCTCGTCTAGGATATACACAGTGAAAAATACAACAGTGTGTATTACGGAAAACCATCCTTTTCAAGAGGTGTTTGTTACAGTGCGAGCTTTAATCTTTAAAGATAACTTGGATTATCCTGTTTTCACCGTTTTATATTCCATAGATCCAGCGTTTGTTTGTGCGTGTACATTATGTTGAGTCTCCGCCCGCCAGTGTTCGAAATTCACTCGAATTGTTTGACAGAGGCGCTCAGTGTGTCGAAAAATCAGCTCTTGGGGAGTGGCGGGTCCTCACAAGTCTATCTAGTGACAGATGTGAACAATCCTGACAACAAAAAGGCTTTGAAAATACTTTCTTCTCTCGATGACGAGGATTCTGAGGATGAAGACAACAAACTATTTCTTTTTGAAACAGAAGTCAAAATACTTCAAGACGTCCGTCATCCCAACATTATCCGGATGGAGAGGGCGGTTAAATGTCAGGATGGAGTCGCCATTTTGTTGGAGTACCATCGCTCAGATCTGTTCCACTCACTACGTAAGCTCTCGCTCATGGAGTCCTTCCGCTTTTTTATTCAATTAATAGACACTGTGTCTTTTCTCCACCAACATCGCCTCGTGCACGGGGACTTGAAACTGGGAAATGTGTTCATCAGCCACTGTGGAAACGCTGTACTAGGTGACTTCGGACAAGCTCAGCATCTTCCCGAACACTCGACAAGTTCCGAACGATGGGGAGGCAGTCGGCCATATAGGGGACCTGAGTTCATAAAAGATGCGACAGTGGAGGACGTTTTTAAGCTAGAGAGCTACTCTCTTGGACTCTGTCTCTGGGCCTTACTGCTCCGTGTGCACCCTGAGCCAGGCATGGACTTCCTACAGAAGCTGAAAGACGCCGTGTCTATTCCAGAAGTGCGCAGAAAATGTGTTGAGCGTCTCTTATGTCCGTCACCGGTAGATCGTGCCACGGTTGTGGAAACGCAACAACTGCTCATCGATCATAACCTGACAGAACCGTGTGACCCGAACGCTGCAGATCGTCCTCGACATTCACAAATCAGACACCGATATAGGAATCAGGCGATGAAAACCGTAGCCCGACCATGGAAGTTGAAAACTGTCAATTGAGGTACATTATGACATCCATTTGGAAGCAGTGTTCCCGACCTTCGACAGAGAATATGGCACGTCATTTTTTTTTCTTCTGAAAGTAAGAATTATAATTTTGTGCTTTTCGTAGTAATTCTTCACCTGTCTCCACCACTGGAGTTTGCAGTTTATTACTCTACAGATCTACTCTTTGACACTTACAAAATGTTACCTCCGACTAAGTTTCAATTCCCTAACGCCAGCCTATACTTCGTTATTAGGAATTGGTCGTCTGTTAATTACATGTATATTTTTCTTTATTATATGTATTTCTCCTCTTTCATCTTATAAAAGTTCATATATTATACATTCTTAGCATATGTTTAAAGCATCCCCTTTCATTAAGATATCACTTATTTTTGCTCTTATACAGCTTATATCTGAATATCTCGTCTGTTCCCTTATCTTTATTTTTATGTTTATTTATATATATACATACTTTCCACTTTCGTCTTATTTTCTATCCATTTGGGCTTGTTTTTTGGTTGCTTTTTGGATGGTGGTAGTTTTGTTTTGTTGATTTTTTTAGGGGGGTACGGGGGGGGGGGCTGTTTTGCTTTGTTATATTTATTTGGGGAGGGGGTTATTGTTCCATCTAAAGCATTGTGGGTTGTTTTTTCTCATATTAATTGAATTTGAGAGCATTGCTTCTTATGTTTGATTTATTTGATTGTGCCGTCTTAATAAAAAGAAAAATTGGGTTTTAATTCATATCTCTATTACCGTTGTTGCCTTGTTAATCGTTTATGTTTACCTTGGTTAGACATTGTCTGTACAGGAGAGTGGTTGACAGGTGCTCTGGTGTGATTTTCTCCTTCTTTCCTAATTTCTATCGTCCTTAATTCTCTTCCTTTTTATTTGTGTTACTCTCTTGTGACCCCTTTAATGAATCTTTGGCACTTCTATGATCTAATCACGTTGCAACTGCGAGTGCCGTAAAACTAAAACTAAAACTACACTTTCTGTAGTTGCTGCGGCGTTGCTGTCTTTTGGTACTAATATCCTGTGTAAGGTATATCGTCGCTGACGAGAGCAATCCACTTAAATCCATATTTTGAAGAAAAAAAAAAATTTACGCCTCCGTAAATCTTTATCAAAGTTGTACCTTTTAACAGCACCAAAATGCAGTTTGATGCTATGGTCAAGGCTCACAATTTCCTTGCTCCTCATGATCACAACAAAACCTGTGTGGTTTGCGCGTGCTCTGGGGTGGTTTGCTTTTTCCTTCCTATCAAACATTCATCGTCTTTATCGGCCCTCCGTTTTGGGGGCGTTTGTTACTCTCTTGAAACACTTCTAATCTTCGGCACTTATATGACTTATTGTGTTGCAAGTGCCGTAAAACACTTACTAAAAATGTAAAAAATTAAAAAGCTACGTTTTTGGTTCGGGTAAAAAGTACCCAAAAGCGCTTAAGTGGATTGCTTGTGACTTCCACGCTATGCAGGGGGTTCACAGTAATACTCAGTATGGGGAATATCAGAATGGAGCATTCCAACACCGCTTTTTTTTCACATCCGTGGTCTTTCTTGTGTTTTGTTTTGGGTTTTTTTTTTGTCGGGGTTTTTTTGTTTGTTTGTTTGGGGTTCGTTGTTTTTTGTTTGTATGTTGTTGTTGTTTTGTTGGGGGGGGGGGGATTCGGTTCCCGTAGTTTCTAATGGAACATTACTTTATGGGGTCTTAATCAGACTACTTTTCCTTAAAAGAAGGCTTTACGTAGAACCAAGTTATAAAAACCCCAATTAAGATACGCACACACATGCATACAAACACACACACAGACACACAGACACACAAACACGCTTGTTTGCTTGCTTGCTGTACGGGACTGGGTACTCATGTCTGGGGTTGAATTCCTTCTTCACACTAATGCATTGTTTTCATCTCGTCATTTATGTTCTCTCTCTCTCTCTCTCTCTCTCTCTCTCTCTCTCTTCTCTCTTCTCTCTCTCTCTCTTCTCTCTCTCTCTCTTCTCTCTCTCTCTCTCTCTCTCTCTCTCTCTCTCTCTCTCTCTCTCTCTCTCTCTCTCTCTGCGTTTTTCTCTTTGTCTTTTTGTTAGCACTTTTGTTTGTTTATTTGTAGCCAATGCTTTATGAGCTGAAGATTTAAAATAATTCTTTTTAAAATAGTTCATTGGAGAAACGCACACAACAAATTGGTCACTTTTAAGGACAAGTGGGCTAACCCAGATTTTGTGGGTTTCCAGAAATCTTGACCTACACCAAAGGTGGGCATTGCTCTACCTATAGGAGAAATTTAGTTTCATTGGTATGTTTATTTGTTTGGTTATAGTGAAAACTCTCCTTGTATTTTAATAAAACTGAATAAGGATTTTAAAAACTATACCTGCGATTTTCCCAAAACAGAATTTTTCGGGATAACCCCTTTGTGCTTAAAAGCGACCAATTAGAGACTGCGTCTTAAAAACCTGCAATGCCAAGTCCCACAGTTAGTGATTGAAAATAACGTAGTAACAACATGACTGCTGATTGGTGACGTGCTTTCTATAACTATGTCTTTTTAAAAAATGGTTTCCTTATCAGATGACAGAACTTTGAAGTTTGCCGGTACAGGGACTGTCCGGCTGGTCACACCTCGCTACCTATTGATGTGACAGTTTGACAACGAATGAGCTAAGGCTTTGACCTTATTCATCGTCATCATCAATGCCTTTCACCCCTGGCAGGGTATAGGCCACATACAAGCTCCTTCCATTTATCTCTGTCCTGAGCCATCCTTCCAAGCTCGTTCCAAGTGAGCTTCATTTCTCTCATGTCACTTTCCACGCATCTCCTCCATGTTTCCCGTGGCCTACCCCTGCCTCGTGCTCCCTGGGGGTTCCACTGCAGTGACTGTCTTGTGATGTTTCCGCTGGGCTTTCTTAAGGTGTGTCCCATCCATCGCCACTTTCTTAGTCGTATTTCTACTTCTATATCCTTTTGTCCTGTCCTTTTCCACAGCTCTTCATTTCTTATTCTATCCTGCCACTTAATTTTTAAAATACTCCTCATACATCTGTTGATGAAAGTCTGGACCTTATTCAGTACTGTCTTCGTTGTCTTCCAAGTTTCGCAGCCGTAGAGGAGCACAGACTTGACGTTGGAGTTAAAAAGTCGAATCTTGGTGCGCAGTGAGATGTTGCTTGCTTTCCAGACCTTTGATAATTGCTTGAAGGCTGACCTTGCTTTGGCGGTTCTTGCTTTAACATCTGCCTCGGTTCCACCTTTACCATCGATGACACTTCCAAGGTAGGTAAAGGAGTCCACTTCTTCAAGGGGAGTGTCTTCCACTGTCACAGCAAGGTTTGAAACCTTTCCTAGCTTCACTACTTTTGACTTGCCTGGATGTATACGTAGGCCAACACTCCTTGATAGGCTGTTGAGTTCCTTGGTCTTTTCTTGCATCTGAGCATGTGTGTGAGAGAGCAGTGCAAGGTCATCGGTGAAGTCCAAGTCGTCCAGCTGCTGCCAAGGGATCCATTGTATTCCATTACGTTTGCCTCTGGTGGCTTCTTTCATGACCCAGTCAATTGCCAGTATGAAGAGAAAAGGTGAGAGCAAGCATCCTTGTCGCACTCCTGTCTGTACCCGGAATGGTTCTGAGAGTTGTCCTTCGTGGAAGACTTGGCAGCTTGTTCCATCATAGGTGGCCTTCACAAGCTTGACGATTTTCTCAGGTATTCCAAAATGCCGCATGAGTTTCCACAGAGTTTCCCTATTTGACCTTATTGGGTGTTAAAAAATATTTGACAATCACGGTGGAGCCAAAAAGTATTTTAAAAAACAAAAAAACAAATAGTCGATACAGCCTCGATGGATGCCTGATATCGTTATAGTTAGAGAGCCAACTGCTAATTTTGTGAACCTCTTTTTACGCAAGTTCCTTATTCCGATGAGCACCTCGCTACCTGCTGATGTAAGGCGTTTGACAACCATGGTCTGTCCCCGTGGTTTTGTGTACCCCACATAATTCAACAAAATTTGATCATTTTTTGCATAATTTCTGATTATTTTCCTTTATCATTCTTTGTTAAAATTAACAGAATCGCATAATTTCACACTTTTGGGCTCAGTTTGCATAATTTCATAATTTTTTTGTGTGCATAAAACTGCGGGGACGGCATGGATTTCTGAATTTTTCTTGCATAAAACGACGGAGACAGCCTTATAAGATGAATGAGTTTTAAAGTTTGCCGACACGGGGGACTGTCCGGCCGTTCGCACCTCGTATCTGTTGACGTAACACAGCACCCAACCCCCAGGTGTCAGCGATACTGTCACTTTCTCTCCCTTTGTGTTGTGTTATGTCTTATCTGATCGTCCACGCAACAACGCTTTCATTATGATATTTAAATTTATAAAATTGTTGTTGTTTTTCTTATCTTAGACTACCATGGTGCAGCCAAAAAACCCAACAAACAACAACAAAAAAGTCGGAACGGGCAGGATCGAAACTCGATGTCACTATACTATACTAACAGGGCAAACTCCTTCTTTTTTTTTTTAGCTGAAAGGTTCGGAAACCTGTTGATGTTGATGAATTCCGATAGGATGCCATTCTGATAACACTGACCTTTAACGTAACACTAAAACCTGAACCTGACCCTGGCGTAACCTAAAAATAAAAGACAATTGAGGTCTGTGAGGCGTTTATTATGAAGGTTAGATTTTAATCATGTAGAAAATGCTACATCATCTAAAATTTAACGATTATTGGCTCCTCCTGACTAGTTTTCGGCAAGGCGACGTCACGATAGCTCCTCCCGGGTGCTACCCTATCGAGACGGTCAGTTAACTAATCTCCTTATTTCTGTCCCCGTGGTTTTATGCACCCCGCATAATTTAGCAAAATCAGATAATTTTTTGCATAAGTTCTGTTGTTTTTTCCTTTATCATTCTTTGTTTTTAAAAAAAACAGAGCCGCATAATTTCACATTTTTGGGCTCATTTTGCATAATTTCAGAATTGTTGTTGCATAAAACGACGGAGACAGCCTTATAAGATGAATGAGTTTTAAAGTTTACCGACACGGGGGACTATTCGGCTGTTCGCACTTCGCTATCTGTTGACGTAACACAGCACCCAACGACCAGGTCCAGATGTCAGCGAAACGGTTACCTTTTCTCCCTTTGTGATGCCTTATAACAACGCTTTCATTATAATATTTAAATTTATAATAATGTTGTTTTTCTTATCTTAGACTACAATGGTGCAGCAAAAAACAACAACAACAACAACAACAACAAAAAAGACGAAACGGCCAGGATCGAAACTCGATGTCACTATACTATAATACTAACAGGGCCAATTCCATTTTTTTTAGCCGAACGTTTCGGAAACCCGTTGATGTTGATGAATTCCGGTAGGATGCCATTCTGATAACACTGACCTTTAACCTAACACTAAAACCTGAACCTGACCCTGGCGTAACCTAAAAATAAAGGAGAGTTGATGTCTGTTAGGTGTT